CCCATCCTTAACGACCCTAACTACAATTCTCTTATTTCAGCTCACGGATTTGTGGGTTAAAAAAAAACTAAAAACGAAAAATTTGCCAACAACTCTATGAGCCTCGCCGGACGGTGGGCCAAACGAAAAAAAAATAAGAATTTGTTTCGTGAAGGCGTTGCCGCACATCACAAACGCGATTCTTGTCAGAAGCAACACGCAAATTTTGTAAGATAATGGGTTCGCGAGGAAAACGCATGGGCGACTGCCGCCCAGCCTGCAAAACGCACGAACCCATAAGTCCTCGACGAGGATGGTGGAGGTCCTATGGGTCCTCGTGAGTGTGCCAATGATGTTCACCCGGTGTCCTTTCAAATTTTGGACTGTAGCGCTTGCCAGGTTTCACGAGCATGCAGAGAAGCACATTATTCCTCGTGGATGCATTTGTCCATTTGTTGACCCTAAAGGATCGGGCGGTCCACCACCATCCGCCCTTAGGTGTGGGTGACCCGTGTTGGCCGGTACCTCATGCCACTGCGTTCAGGAAAGGTGTGGGACCCTTGAGAGTGAACTGTTCACCACCACACAACACGAACGAAACCCGCACTGGTCAGGGTATTGCTGCGTGGATATTCACTTGTGTTATGCGGCGGTGATAACTGAGACGACCCGAAACAACGAAATATGGCCTCGTGAGCCCTCGCAAGTTAGGAGGTCGTTTCATTTCATTTTTCTTACCGTCCGGTGAGGCCCTACTATAGGTGGTCGCAACCCTGCTGCCCTAGAGGCTGACATTTGCTACACCAATTGCAAATCTAACTATCAGGCGGGCAAGGTGATACTACCAAACCATGACAAATTTTGCAATCTTGCCAAAAACAAACCTAGTGTAAGTAAGTCAGCACACCATACTGTTTTCGACTTGGTTTGTGACGTTCTAACTTCACGCCATGTCCTGTCTTTCAGTCGGAGTGATAATTTGTGTGGAATAGGCCCTAAAGGACAAAAAAATGGGGTGTGCCAAAGGTTTTTGGGAATATTTAGTGTGAGGTCACGGACGAAACTAAAAGCCCCCATGAGATTCCAATTTTGTGAGGAAGGACCATGGTCGCGAGGAAAAGAAATGGTGAGTGGTACTTTCAAATGTTCACTCAATCCAAAAAGCATCTATGAACTTCCATGCGAGCTATTGTCGTCTTTTCGAATGGAAAGGCAAGGGTAAACATGCAGGATTTTATTTTCAAATTAAGTCTCAACGATGTTCGCTACAGAGTTTGGAATCCGACATGGATGGTCTTAGTCTGGTCGCTCTTTCCCTATATTCGTCCTCGCCACATGTTCAGTAGTGGAACCACTTCTCTCGATAATGCTCGGTGCGGCGACAATCGTTGCACAAAGTGTTGGGCCAATGGGACGCTACTCTCGTCCGCGGGATGACAA